TTGCACCTATATCCAGAATATGAATGATCTTAGCTTCATGGGAGAATCATTTGGACATACCTGTATGTCCTGGATCCTAGGGTTGACAAATAACTTCTACCTATGCACCCTGAAATTTTGTTGCTGGTTTCCCTGTGAAGTATTCCAGGCTATTTATCCTGAGCCCTTTCAACGTTTCCTTTATACTTCAAAAGTACTTTTAGCATGGTGGTCAAGTTTTGTGCAGCTTTTCAATATTGTTCGTTTGTTTCCAAATAGGAAAGAATGTATGAACAACAAAGAGTTTGATAGCGTCAGTGTAGGAATGATGGTTCCCCAGTTGTCTAGGTCTTCTGGCTTTCAGTACATGCAAATCTTTGAGAAAGAGCTTATCAGGAGAGCTACAGTAATTAGCAACCATTCCAAAATACACTAGAAGAAGTTGGGCAAGAGGAGAGCAAAGGAGCCATGTTAGGACTGTAAAATAATTTCTCTTGAGTATGGTATCATCCAATCCTTGCTCGCTGGAATCCAGATTTTATGATTCACTCTTGGTCAATTTTCTTGATACAGTAATATGGTAGATAAAGTGCAAGCTCATTCTTGTAGCTTATCCGATTTGCCTCTGCTCCAAAGTGCATCAAGAAAATGAGACTCAGGGCAACAGAGCACCATTATTCACTACTCAAGAGAAATTATATAAGACCTAGACAACTGGGGAACCATCATTCCGTACACTGACGCTATCAAACTCTTTGTAGTTCATACATTCTTTCCTATTTGGAAACAAACGAACAATATTGAAAAGCTGCACAAAACTTGACCACCATGCTAAAAGTACTTTTGAAGTATAAAGGAAACGTTGAAAGGGCTCAAGATAAATAGCCTGGAATACTTCACAGGGAAACCAGCAACAAAATTTCAGGGTGCATAGGTAGAAGTTATTTGTCAACCCTAGGATCCAGGACATACAGGTATGTCCAAATGATTCTCCCATGAAGCTAAGATCATTCATAGTCTGGATATAGGTGCAAATAGAAATGAAATGCGATGGAAAACTGAGCAAAAATAAGCTATTCTAGCCATTTTTCATACAAATATGGGATAACATACAAATGAAAACACTCAAAAAAAGCATTTTGCACTATGAGGAAGTAATATTTTACACAAGCAGGCAAGTGGGGCTGACTCCAGATGAGGTCAGGACTGTATAATGTGCCCAATATGGCGATTTTCGACCTAACGTACCGCACATTTTGACAGATTACTCAAAAAGTTATTGAATGCCCATCCTGAAACTTGCAGGGATGCTAGTGGACATGATAGTCTTTCTTTAGTGCGAATATGAAGAAAATTGAAGGATGTGCGTTTTTTGCTATTTCCAATTTAAGTTTTTGGTCTTTTATAAAAAATTTTCTGGTCCAATTTGGGGGAAAAAATGTTATGAACAAAAAGATTGAAGAGAGCTTTAAAATGACACCTGAATCAGCTCTCTATGTGCCATACCTCCAGATATATGAACACTTTTGTAACGCGTGTCATGCTAACTAGCCAAAAATGTATTAGCCCCTATCTCACTAATTAGATGGCTTTGAACAAAAATATTTGAGCTCTGACAGTTTCTCCTGAAGGCCAATCACTCCACCAAATGTCATCAAAATCTGTGACATGAGTGGAGATTCTTGGTTGAATTGACATGGAATGACCCAGTCATGGTATTAGTACCAGTCAAACTGAAGATCCTTTCACATTGGGACCATTTTTGTTGTGCGATTGTTTCGTACATCAGTATTTTTTTTGAACCCGTATCCTGTCAATACAAGCGTTCACAACAGCGACATTTTCCTGTCCTGCAATATTGAGGCATTTATTTTTTTCGGATCACGGTCAAATATTCGCAAAGTTTCGCACACTGTGTGTCCACTTCTGACCAATCAGATTGCGTGTTGTTGCGACATCAGATTCACCTGTATATCCAACTTGGCCGACCGGCTGATTGTTTACGTGTCAGAGAATTGAGAGCTTTTTGACACACACATTACACAGATAACGACCTGAAGGATAGTTTGTGTGCTTTAACAGTTTGCTAACAGTCTTTGTTTTAATTTTCATCTGTGCTAAGTAACTTTAGCTCGTAAGCTAACCTGTTCAGATACAACATACCATATGTCTTTTCACTGTCTCGAACTCAATTGTGCGATGTCACAGCACCATTAGGTCTCGGTTGTTACCTTACGTTTATGGATTATAGTTTAATGTGCTTATTTGCTACTGGCCCGGACTCAGTACATGCTATCATGACAGACAGCCATCTCAACACTAGTGTCTAATCAGAACTGCAAAACGGTCACTCTGCTGTTGTGTCAGTCTTCTCGCTTCCATCCGGGACACGCATTTTTTTTCCCCCGGAAAGTCGCAAAATCGCATCGGGCTTGATGTATATAGTCAGGCGTGTCTAAATTTGCCTCAGAATATTTCGTAATTTCGTGTCGGACATTTGTGTTGGTCCCGGTGTGTAAGGACCTTAATCCTGATGATGAGTTTGGCTCTTACCTGCCTGTGACCGTGCATGAGTCTATGTCTGTCAGTCACATCGCTGTGAAATATTTACAGGTATCAGACACTGCCTCTGTCACAGGTAACCCAGCAAACATATGATGAAGACGTGTGTGTTTAAAGACAGTATCCTCCCTTTTGTCCCCTTCACACTGTACTGTACCTCACTCAGTTACACATGTGCTTGGTGTCAGAGGATCCTGAAGGCAGCATTATGCAAAAACTGGATTTTTTTTAGGATGAAGCACACTAACGGTTTCTGTGCATGCTCTCCTCTGCCTATTCAAATCTGGACTGAGACATTGTAGGGGACTCTGCTTGGTCTTTTTTTCTACCCCTCTGCTGGAGCTTTTTTATTGAAGCTGGGTTAGGGTCTTGTCAAACACCAGCAGGCAGAGAGGTGCATTTGAAGGCGTTCACGAACAGTCCGGCTTACATAAGACTTGAGAGGAGCAGCTCATTCTGAACTGTGTGTACTGAGCCTCAGAGGGGAGTGGCGTGGAGAGAATTTTTCATTTGTTTAGAAAAGAAGTCTTCAGGTGTGTGCATGAGGTTTGAGTGAGTCAGCTTCTGCAGTAAGACCATAATGGAGTGCACTGAAGCATCAGGCGGTATGTTGTTGCATGGTTTTCAGGTTTTGGCTCTTTTTTTCTTTTGCTGTGTGTAGCTGATTGTGGGATTGTGGATGGTTTCTTCTTCTTTCTCTGAGCTTGTGTATGAACTGTGTCCAGTCAAGTCTTTGTGTCATTTTCAAGATCTGATGGGGTTTTTGCAGGAAGCTAATGGTAACTTTGGAACAATTGACTACAATTAAGCAAAGCAAACGGTGCACATTTGTCTAAACACGATACATAACTTATAATAAATGTTGGAAATGTCCTGGTAATGATTTTTTATGTCAATGCAGCTCATAAAATTTTTTTGTCGAAACTTATAGGGATTTTTCATAAAATTTGGTCAATAAAATATCAAAAACTACACTTATGCCAAATTCCCCATTTTTGAAGCATTTTAGGAGCTATTTTCACATGATGTCCATGGGAAACAAAGAGGTCACTTTAGATATCTAAGCTGCACTCTTACTTAAAGTTCTCAGTTTTACAGATGAAGAAGACACTTTTACTTGTCTCTTTTTAAGCTGGAAAAAACGTGTTTTTTTTTTTTGCTTTTTTTGTGGGAACTTTTTCCTTTTCCAATTCTAACCTCTGGCTAGAAAACAGGTTTTGAAATGTCAACCAGTTTCATGACCTGTTGAACAACTCCTGACTGTGTGTTTAAGAGCTCCTTCTCCCTGCCTTGGTGATCTGTATCTGTGGCAGTTAGGGCTAGGCAATTAAAACAGGAATCACCCTTTGTCAACCACTGAGGACAAAAAACTTTCAGGCCCTGGAAACTGGAATCCATCGCTGTGTCAAAATGTCATCACACTGGAAAAGTCTTGAGTAACGGCACTTAAGTTTTGTCTTTACTCTGCCGGAGCACATGGAAAATGAGCATGAAATAGAAAAAAACTGTAGTCATAAACCTGCCATCATCTGTCAGGCTGAACCAATCACAAGTCTCTAAGCTCAGCTGTTCACACCTGGTGGGATCATGGCTATCAAAATGTAGGCCTGCTGACTGCTTGTAACTGGATCTCATTCTGTGTCCACTTCAGCTGTCTAATAGTTTGATTAAGAAGCTTGGTGTCCCCCTACAATATCCAGAAATGGACCATTCTGCCCTAACTTTGTAATAATCCAAGGTTTTAATGTCACTATTTCTTAAGATATACTCCCCAATTTACATCATGTGTCAGATGGAGTATCTAGACAAAGGTTTAACTAATTTGACGTCGCTATCGTAGGTAAAACATAGGAGTGCATTTTCCAGTTTTGCTTAACTCAAAACAACTTGATTTAATTTGCAACAGAATAATGATCTCCCTTCCCTCACGCCTACTCAATCCTGATGAAAAAATAAATTCAGATTAACAAGTATGATACCTTTTGTATTGATACTTGTTGTGACACCTTCCTCCTGATCTGATCAGATGGAGCAGTGTCCCTTTTTATTGTAAACAAAAGCTTTCACCAGCATCTCTGCATCATGCATACTGCTAAAAGTTTAACCCTTTGTGCTCCTATGGCCACCTCTGTGGTGACACAGCAGGTAACAAATGGGACAGATTTCTATGAACATGAAACGAGATACCTTCCACAGAGGGTAGCTTTATAAAGCTGGCATTGCCCCATCAGTTTTTTCCCTCTCTTTGTGTCAGGGCCAGCTGGTGTAACAGAACTATAAATAGATGTCTTTGACCTCCAGAGTTATATTTGGATCTGAGTAGAGACGACAGACAGATGAGCAAAAGAAAGAGGGGAGGAGCAGAAGCAGGAGCATAGGAGAGAGGAGAGAGGAGAGCAGAGAGCAGCCACACTCTCCCCGGGGAGCTGGGCTACATCGTATCTTTTGAGCCGTTCACCTCACCACTTACTTCGTTGATCGGACAATCAAGTTTTCAACCAGCAAGGATGGGTGATCCAGCAGCTCTGGCTGATGCCACCATCCCTCCAGTGGCCACGGCGATCCCTGAGGTGATAGCTGGGGAAATCCAAGGTGAAGAAAACAAGATGATAAGTGAGCTGACAAGGACTCGTTAGTTTGTGTGTGAGTGTAGGTGGTTGGTTGTATTGTGTTGGTTGTGTGAAGGTACAGCTAAGACGCAGACTTCTGGGTCAGAGTTAAGACCCCAGAGAGGTGGTTTTCTAAGTTCTTGACTGGCTGTGGAAAATTCAGTAGCTGTTGGAAACCTGATGATGTGTCACTACAGGGTGAAAGATGTCATATTATCGCACTATATAGTTAGAAGTTGTCTAAGGTGATTTGGTGTATGAGCCCCTATGATTTCGCAGTAAAGAGGCTGATTAGTATGATCAAATGGTAGTTTGAGGGGCTCTTTAATTTTGTCATATAAAGAGAATCAGGGTTCTGCTAACTAACTGCTGCCTTGCTACAGGACTGGTGTACGGGTCACTTTTCCAGACAGGATTGTTAAAGCAGTCTTCAGAGTATTTTAACTGAGCGTGTATTACTTACTGTTAAAGTGAAGACTTTAAAAGTTTTGCTCATAAACACTTGATCTCTTAATCCTCTCTTTTCTAGATGAGTACTTTTGAATACAAACCTTAACTTTGAGCACTGCTCCTTTTAGAGCGTCACTGAGTTTGACCTAACACCATGGAGCTGACTGCACCACCTGTTCGTTCACTTTGCCACTATTTTCTCCCATCGTCCATTGTGGGATTCCATTGCAGCCCAGGAATAGCCCCTTGGATGTGGTTTCTTTGTGTTTCTATTGCCTCCCTTTCCCCTAGAGTCAGTAATAAAGGCTTTGTTCCATGCAGTGTGATATCTAGATTGATAGATTTCAGATCTGAGAATACTAAATATGATCAATATTCTTCAGTTCTGTTGATTATTCTAATTTGGAAACTCCCATCACACGCAAATTCTTGATTTCTGATGCAGGTTCATTTTGGCTGGTGAAAACTTTTATAATTTATGGGTTCTGAACTTGGGTGTGGCGAATTGGATCTCATGTGCCCCCAAGAATTTTTTAAAAAACCATCCACATAATTTTCTTTTTTTTTCAGCTAGAAACTTTTCTTCACAAATCTGCTTCAAAAGATTTAAAAGAATAGTCTTAAAATAATAAACGTCGTAAAACGTCAAGAGTATTTCATAAATCACAAGTTTCTTCTTATGCAACAATAATCTGTGTGGTTTAGAAGCAGGTTTATAGGTAGAAGAGACCGGATTGATGGAAAAACTCGCATTAAAATCAGAGGGCGTGGTCATGGCAAGTCCTCCAAGTTAGCCTGGGGTGCGATGACACATCTCATGGCACGGCACAACAAGTCCATAACTTTTTAGAATCTGTTTCAAGACTCTCTTTGGTGTCTCTTCAGAGGTTGATGGATCACAGCTTGGGTATCGAGAATGGAGTGTCGATGGGGACCGGGACTAACATTTCGATTCTTCCGGTATCGTTCAAATATTAAAATTTCGATTCCAAGTTTCAATGCTGGAGTCCGCCGACCGGAAGAAATAGCCGCTGAAAATCAACGAAGAAGAAGCTGCTTAACACCAACAAGGACAGAGCGTAGGAGACGAAGCCACACAGAAAGTGAAGAGAGACAGAGAGAGAAAGTACATTGCAACCCCCAGCAATGCAGCCGCTGTGGGTTACAATCATAGACTGTATATAAGATGGACAACCTGGTTCCGCCTTCCGCCTGTATACGGATTTGAACCCAAAAAGCTCTCGGTAATTCCGGGTTTTTCTCCACTTCTTTGAAACCAGAGCTGCGCAGTAGCGATGCGCGCATTTGGCCGTGCAGTTGCCGAGAGTCGCTGTGATGACGCTCGGCTCAAATATCCCCACGGGAGAGCTACGCAATCCCTTAACGCCCATAGGCTGTACCAGGTGTCAATCATAGAAAACATGAACCCCCTAATAACTTTTAAAAATGGAGCTGTACAGAAAAAAAGGACTTGGGCACAAACCAGTCTTACAATAACTACATGTCAACATCACAAGCAGGGGGGAGAAAAATTTATGTTCTGTGTAATAAATTTCTAAAGTTTGTCCACAGTCCCATAAGCTTCGCTGGCGGAGGCAGGATTTATGACCTGTACTGCAGCCCACCATCAGAGGGTGCTGTTCTCGGAGTGGCTTCACCCAGCGAGGAGGCAGACTCTGTCCATCTTATATACAGTCTATGGTTACAATCCACTCTCTCTCTCTGTCTGTCTCTTCTCTCTCTCTGTGGCTTCGTTTCATACGCTCCGTCCTCGTTGGTGTTCGGCAGCTTCTGCTTTGTTGGTCAAAAGTTGGGCTAACTTTAGCAGGAAAAATGAACTCTTATCTCAATGCAACATAAGCAATACAGTTATATCATACAAAGGAGGGTAAATGACCAACATGATTAAACACCTCAGGATTCATGGAGGAGAAATACCCGAGTGCTCGTCTTTGACGCGCTTCGCCGGTGTTGTGCCATAGAATGCACCCCTGACGGGAGCGCAGTTGAAAGTACATAACAAGGCGAAACAATCCAAGTTTTTCTTACCGTTGAATGGAATCTAAAGCGTGTGCCTTTAATGATTTCATTCAGGCTATTCAGATATGCCGAAAACAATAGCCCTCTGATTCGGAATATTTGCTGTCCCGAAAATATAATGTTCTCTACCTTAACAGCTTACTGTACAGTTTATATACCCAAGTCACCTCTATGTGTGCATTTTTGAGACACATAAAAACAAAACGAAAGTTTACTGCTCCATTTGACATGTTTTCATGATCTAATACTCGTGTTTTTCTTTAAATATGAGATCATTGTCTTCCACTTTAAGAAGCTAATGAGTGGAGGGGAGGCATTCTATGGCAGGGGTGCATTCTACAGCACAACACCTGTCTTCCGCTAACCAGTCAGGATCAGATAAGTGAAGCAATAAATTACTTCTGTCCTCTGCTAACTTTGAAGCGGTAAACAAATTGTACTGTGTACGGTGAGTAAACTTAAATATCCAACTAACCTTAGCCCTTGTACTTTTTCATAGACAAACGACCTGACAACAAAAATTTATATTTATATACTGGTTGAAAATAGCCCTGTGAGAAATTCATAGTAAAGTTCCCTCATTCAAACCATAATAGAGAATCGATAGGAATCGGAATCGAAATGAGGAATCGGAATCGGAATCGTTTAAAATCAAACAATACCCAACCCTAATCACAGCTGCTTCCAATCAGTGTATAGGCAGTTAATCATATATGAAGCTGCTGTCATGCCCCTCCTCTGGTTTCCCTCCTCTCTCCTTCATCCTCTCCCCTCCCAGCAGTAATCGGAGCTTTGAGTTTGATCCTGGTGGAAATATTATTCTAGAGCTTTGGGCAAATGTTCTCTCCTCCTCTCCTTATGCTTTGTTCAGTACACATGGGAGCTTTGAACTAATTCAGCTGTTTATTCTCTTATGAAAACACCACAGCAACAACAAACCCTGCGGTGCCCCACAACTCAGCCAAACCCTGAAACCCAACACACTTCTGTTTGGGACTCAATATTTCAGAGAAAACAACCTGACCAAACTCTGCATGCATGAGAGAAACAGATGCAATGATAGTAGGATACTACAGGAGTACATTATGAGGTAGAACATGTCCTGGATGGCTCAACAAAGCCTAAAGCTCCAGTCGGTTATATCGGATATTATGACCACAGTGATGAAACAATTTCTGATTCAGGCCCTACAGATCGACCACTCGCTCCAGTTTGACTGTAATATCTGTCAAAGTCTTTTAATATCCTGTCTTTGTTTTCTCTTTGGCAGACATGCTGCTGCAGTATCAGCTGCTCTTCTTGTTTTGTAACCTCCCTCTGTATTTTTCCCCCTTCAACTTTTTTTTTTTCTTTTTTTCTCTGAAGGTCTGTTATGAAGCTCTCATTTTTCATGTGAATCGATGGTTCCCTGATAATACCATCCCCTGTTTTTTTGAAGTGAAGAAATGTTTGAACAGTGAAAGTTAACATCTGTGTTTTGACCACATTTCACTATGAATATGCGACATATTAATTAATTATTATGGGTGAATTTCGGCATCCAGAACTCTTTTCACTCAAGGATCAGCACATGCATGGCCATGTTCTGTGTTTTTCGTTGATCATGTTTCAAACAGTTTTCTGTAGGACATCTCTGAACCCACTCGCTCCATCATACAGTCCATATTTAAGATTTCAAGATATAAAACCTAACAAACTACATTCCTGCTCTTAAAGGATTTTAGGTTGGGGTGATAATTTCACCTGTCTGATATCTTTACTCTTTGTAGTTTCTGTGCCAGTATGTTAATCTAGGACCTGTTAAAACTGTAATAGCGTCACAAGCCATTGCTGAGTAATAGGGTGGGAGAATAAATCCATACATCATACTATTGCGATATTTTGTCTTGTGATATACGGTATCGTCTTGTTGACCAAGTATTGATTTTTTCAAATTAATTGTTAATATGTAGTCAAATCTATGATAATGGAAAAATAAAATTAACTGTTTGTGCAGTGAGGTTGGCAGAGGTGACAACATGGAGCAGGAGAGAGTTAGTACAATAAATATAAGGTTTGCAAGATGTGCTACATGAAAATAAAAGTGTAAATAAGAAACATGAAGGAAAGACAAATGCTAAATTAGCTAAATAGTTGAAAAAAATTATATAAATTGCAATATATTGTATCGCAAAACTCACTGTATTGCAAAATATTACAAATTTCAATAATATCATATCGTGGAGCCACTAGTGATTTCCACCCCTACCGAGTGATGTGGCTGTTCAGTGTGAAAGGAGAAGTTGGTTTTTTAAATGTATCTTAATTCTGATAGAAAACAAACACACCTGCTGATTTTCCTGATCTTTTCTTAGACCTTGCACTTTTTAAACTATCAAACAGCACGGATGTCAGTGAGTGTGCAGAAAGAAAGGACTCCAGCTAATGTGTCAGCCATCACTGAGTGAGTGTCTTTGTTTTGCAGATGGCACCAAAGCCCAGTCAGCCAACAAAAATGGGAAGAAGGCGGACTCTGGCTCCAGCAGCGGCAGTTTCTTCACCTGGTTCATTGTGCTTGCCCTGCTGGGGGTCTGGACATCTGTTGCTGTGGTGTACTTTGACCTCGTTGACTACCAGGGAGTCCTTGGTGAGTATGCCATGCCACACACACACGTATCAAATGTTAATACGTGTGTGTTAAATGTTGTCTCATGTCCATGGTGTGTCTTCTCTCTCCACTTCATGCATCTTGCCATTAAAAGGATGCTCTGCCTGTTTGGCTTTTATCTCCAAAAATGTGTCCACTAACACATGCATTTACCATCTGTCCATGAAACAAGCATCCACCCTCATTGAGAGCTTATCAAACTGAAATATTCTTCGAAAGATCAGAACCATTAGGAAATCAGCGACAAACATGCTGAAAGTGAGAGTCTGCTAAATCCCAGTCCTGCTTTCATCAACCTGAGCATATCTGGCAGTCCTGATTGTACTGGGACGTTTGATCCTGACTGTGTGTTTTCCATCACCCATCCATTGTTCTAACATTAGACCATGATGACAGGGAAGATATCTGTCATAGTTCTGTCTCGATAATCTCTCTGAACTGGTTTCAGATGGTTCAGACCATGTAGCGATGAGGAGATAAATGCCCCTCTTGTATGCTTGAGCTCACTTAAAGGAATTAAATAAAATATGCCCCCCAGTGTGTTACCTACCAGGCTCATTAACAACTCATTATACCCACTAAAAGTGGAGCCTCTCCAAGTGGCCAGTGGCGGGCATATTTCATTAACGCAGACATAGAACCACACCCTTTTATTAAAAAAAAAAAGTTTTAATTTATGAAACCTGCAGACCTGCAAACACTAAATTCAGTTGTAGCACTCTGATCACACTAGAAGTGCTTTTTTTGGGTCTCATTCACCTGTTTTCGCTGTATTCCTGGCAGAGACTGCCTTGTTAAGTGCTCACTAGTGTTTCCCATCCACGAGACAGCCACACTTGTGTTGGTTCAAGGTTAGTCCCAGGGACACATGGGTATGTGGACAGCAAGTCCTGGGATCAGAACCCTAACGTCCCTGTTCGGAGACGAGTGACTTTACCCATGAGCCACTGCTGCCTCTAATTTCAAACAAGTGTCCTGGGTTTCACTGAACAACTTACTGGTGATGGTTTATTAAAATATAGAAATGTGAACACTTGCATCATTAGACATAGAGTATAATAATATAATCATTAGGTTAACAAAAGAGAAATCTAATGTAGTTATAATGTGAGTGTTTTTCTGGGGCCTAGGTTGTATATATGCACCTGCAGGTTTTGCTATTCGGCCTTGGTGGGTCATCCCCTCAGGTGTTTTGTGTATTTTAAAGAGGCTGCAGGTACGGTTACCTTCAGGTCCCCTTTTCTTCTCTTGACCTTTATAAACAGGTTATCATAATTCAGAGGAAAACATCATATTAATGTGTGTTGGTTTATTCTTCTATTTAGGGCTGGGACTCTGAAAAAAAATTTAACTTATTAATTAGAGGCTTTGTAATTAATTAATCTCAATTAATTGCGTAAATATTTGACCTGAGAACAGTGAAAATCATTTTTTAAAAATGGTATACGAGTGAATCAATGAATGGTGAACTGAATGAATACATAAGCTTTAGCAAACAAAACCTTGTTTATTTTTCAAGGTAATATTTAACCGAGACCAACAGATCTGTGCTTTTTTATGCAATAAAGTGCAGCAATTTTAGAGATTAACAATACAGAATCAATTTCAGAGATACAGGTAGCCTATAAAGGTCCAGTGAGCCAGAGAGTTTGTTAATTTTTCTGACGTGAACTTCTTCATCTTAGACTGACTCCAACACAGCAACCCACACTTGACCAGATTAGTGGATTCAGAGCTAACATTAGCTTCCACGCTAACTTCAACATGTTTAGCATTCAGATGATACCGGAGGCTGGACATGCTGCAGTGATATGTAAATTCTTTTTGCATAGTTTGCACGACTATTTTTTTTTTTTTTTAATCCAGGCTCCCATTCATCTTTTATTTTTAAAACAAAAATGCCCATCCACACCGGAGCCAATCAAAGCACATTCATCTGCAACTGTGTTAATTTTTCCATGCATTGGGTGGGACTGGAATCACTGCTACACTCATTTACTTTGGGGTGCGCCAGTATAAGCGGTATACCCGTCGAGTGAGAAACGTTCCGCGGAGCAAAAATACAGTACGTGCGATTAATATGCGTTAATATTTTTAACAGATAATATTACTGAAATTAATTAATTAATCGCAATTAACGTGTTACAGTCGTAACCCTACTTTTATTCATAACGCTCAATCACGTGTAAAACCAAAACTATCAGTTTATTCTTTTTAAAGTAGATCAAGCCTTCACCTTTCACTCTCATTTCATCAACATTCATTCCAGACATCTCCAGTCCTTCTTTTCTTTATTTTTTTCATTTTTTTTTTCATTTGCATGTGGACGATAATGAACACTGCCTCTCTGTTGAATGCATATCTGTCTGTTTGATCACAGCATACTGTCACTAATTTGCACTCTGATCCTTTAGGTGACACAGTCTTCTCTCAGTGTGACCACAGTTTGCATATAATTGATGAATCTTTCTGCTTTTGTTTGATTTTGATCTTTCTGATGGTAATTTGTATGTTTTGTGTTTGCATGCAGACAAGGCTAAGGGCTTACAAATTAACCTGTCTGAGGCCTTGCAAGGTAAAAACCACAAGACATGTTTGTCTTACATCTTGTGTTTACATAAACAATTGTGTTCTGATGATGATGTGTGATTTTTAAAAACTTTTCTTTGAGCTAAAGGCTAAAAACAACAGATCTTTCAGGTTTACTCCACGATCAGATGACTTTTAATAGTTTTTTCTTCACCCAGCTATACTTTTTTAAATCAGACTTTTACTTTAAACTTTTGTGGAAAGTGCAAATCTTTGCCTTATTGGTCTTCAAGTGTTTTGAGATGGATTACATGCTTAAGGCTGTACATCCAGGGATTTTAACTTAACTTTTGCCAGTCATGCAGCATTAAGCAGAAACAGAAACACATCAGCTTTTACAGAAGCATTAGTTTATCGAGGAAAGCAAGAGGGGTCTGGCTGCAGACCACCACTGTCAGGACCTACCTCAACTGTGAGGACCCACTCCACTAAGAAGACCCGAGGTGACGGTTTTCTCATGTGCTTCAGTTTGTTTGAAGTTGCTATCCCATTTTGTATTTTGTCTTTGTTGAACACATGAATACACAAAAAAATTGTATGAACATTATACATATAAAATTGAGCTCTAAAAAAAATATATATTTACAAAAAAAAGAGACAAAAAATACTTTCTTCCTGGTCTAATCGCTTTTTATTTGGTAGGCTTTGAAAAAACTTCCTACTTAAAAAAACAAACAAAAAAAACGGTATATTTGCTTTTATTTTGAAAGGCTTCAAATCAAATTCCTGTCTGCTCAGTGGAGGTGGGTCCTCACAGTGGAGGTCTGCAGCCAGACTGTCTTTAGGAAAAGTGCTCTTTTCCTGAATGTTACTGTGTTTCCACTCAGTTATAGATATTCTAGTCAAAATAAGCTGTTTCATCCATTGAAACCCTTTTCCCTTTATTTGCATGGAATTTGAGAGCGAGGACCAACTACACTTGTGTTAAAAATGTTTAAAGGAGTCAAAAACAAAGTAATTCTTTGAACTTGTCTAGTAAATTGATTGGGCTATAATTGCTTCTGTATAATCTCCATGTTTAGGAAATGCACCCTGACTGTTATTTCCTCTCTGTCCCTGTAGAAAAAAAAAAAAAAGAAAAAAGGATGCTCTAAAAAAGGATTTGAATTCACATAACCACCTACTCACTATACTTATTACCTGGCTGCCAACTCAGAACAGAACAAGTTGACATAAAAAGAAAAAAATAATGAACCACTTATCAAAAATAGACCCTCAGATAACACGGTCACCAATGTTTCCATGGCAACTGATTCTTTTCAGCCTCCTTGTAGTACAAAATGTTAACCTCAACTCTATAATTCAAAAGTACTATTGGCACAGGATCAGTATTATTTAGGGACCTCAGGTAATAAATCCTGAATCACCTCTTGATGTGGTGAAAAAGTCAACATTCACACTCTGAAGTCCTTACTGAAGCATGTGCATTAAAATACTCATGTCACATACATTTTATAACCTACAACATTATTATGAAGCCCAGAAATTCCTGACTTTTTCTCCTCTGCAATCAGTAGTCAGCGTTTATGATTTCTGTCCGTGAAGATTAAGCGGTGCTGCTCTCTTTAATTCTACACATCGTGTTCTGCAGGCAACGCTGATTACCAAGAATATTAATACATTTAAAGGGTAGAAAATACTCCAGCATGTCGTCCATCTGATAACTCTTCAACAGCTGGATCTGTGATGGATTTTAGTTTGCTTTTTCTGCAAACGGGTCTACATCAGACTTTACGCAAGCTTTTTTTCTGACTGCAATCTTAAGATAAAAGTAAAACTTAAAAAAAAAAGAAAAAAGAAAAGGACCAAACTTTATGTTGTAATAATGCATATGTAACGGCCACATGGGCTGTCTCATAAATGGAGGAAAATGTTTTTGTTAACTGTTTTTCTTATTTTAATTAGGCTATTGCGAGAAATAGTAACTGAATGATCCAGCTGAAATTGTAATCAAAATATTGTGAAAACCTTCATATAAAATACCTTTACTAATTCTCATCCAGAAAAAAAGGTGGAAAAATGCAGCTGAAACTGTCTTAAAACCAAATTATCACCCCAAATTACAGAGGAGTAGATCAGGACTGAATTGATATTATCAGAGGCTCTGTGTCCGGAAACATGGTCAGTGATTTTCCTTGGAATTTTTAATTTATTAATTACAGACATGGTTGATTCACAAGAGATTAAAAACATTAATACAGTAATACTGATCCTGTGTGAAAATGGACAATAGTGAGTTAAAAAGAAGCCTGTTTGTTTGTTGATATTCACATCCAACTGATTATTTTCCCTGAAGGTAACTCTAGATAAAATAAACAGGGCTCCAAATCTCAGTCTCTTAACTTACTGGAGCTCCTCAGCAGTTCTGCCATTCTAATGGCTTTGTCCTTAGACCTTGAAACTGTTTGATAATGTTTTTCACTTGTGAATTCAAATCCCAGTACAGCACTGCAGACTCAGGGGAGGAAGGGTCTGCAAACACAGCTAGAGAGCCACATTCACATACACATTCAGGCATGCATGAACACAAAGAGCCATCCCGTTTGCCTGCCAGCCCTATCCTACCTCCTGTCCCCTTCTGAGGGAGGATCAGGGACACACCAACTTGGCGCTTCATTTGTTACGCATTCAGGTTTGACATTGGAGTAGGGTATAGGTAATAATCCAAAACTGTTATAAAGTTTTTGATCACCACCCTCAAACATCTATTATCTGGCAGACGTTGATCATTTTAGATATTCCTGTTTGGTTAATACTTCCCCTGAACGTCCATGTACTGTCTCTCTATCATGATAATAGTCTGGTACAGCTGCTCGGACAAATCACCACGGTTACAGTGATGTCTATCATTGCACACTATCAGAACACAGCCAGCTAATAAGTGGGTATACATGAGGGGTCTTTGTCAGACTGGGTGCATTTCCTCCATGTCTTAATTTTCATGTTGAATGATGCATGCACATGAAGAGTGATCAGTGTGTCTCTGCAGCACTAAGAGCAAATGTCCCGCTGTCATATGTGTTTGTTGCTGCTGTAGGTAAACTGGTGGCTTACGATACAGATGGCGATGGTGATTTTGACGTTGAAGATGCTAAAGTTCTTCTAGGCAAGTTAATTGATTCATCTTTATTTATAGCCAATATCAGTGTTGACGATCAGTGGCTTGCAGAAAGTGACAGTGACAAACAGTTTCTCTGAGTCCTCACTCGCTCATTTCTGCCAGCAACTAATCAAAATCATGACAGTGTTTTTTAAATCTGATAATCATTTCATTGAATGGCATTTTGGGTTTCTTTGCATGACTTACAATTAATGTGATGAATTGTTTCTCACTGATATCAAACACTTGGTGTGTCCATTTGTCCATATTTGATGGCAGTCTACAATACTTTAAAGGAACACATAACCCCGTTTTTACTGTGTTATCCATTGTTATCCCAAAGTTAAAGGTTTTTGGACAGTCCTGTACACAGAAATATTCAAAAGAAGGCGTTAACAGACAGGGTTTTAAAAACGAGTACTTTTATGTGCTCCTTTTGCATTTCTTTGCTTTTTTTTCCCATTGCTTTCTTCCTGTTTGCATCTCTCCATTAAGTTTTGCTTGCCCCAAATTTATAACATTTAGATATTTTAATCCCTGTCATTGTCCTAAAACAGTAGGTATAGTGGTGCCAGCCATGGCACATCCACCGTGTTAGCACAGTGCAGCCTGCAGAGTCCAGCTTTGAAGCTGTGAGGATTTTTGACTTTATAAGATGTTCAGTATTTGAGGCTGATAAATCACAGTACACTAAAAGGGTTTATACACCAGCTACCCCTCACATATCAGTGAATGTCTGTCAATATTTGTGGGTTTGTGTATCTCTGGGTCTGTGCACGTTTCTCTCAGCACAGTACGCTTTGATCATCTGGTGTGTGAGAGCACAAGCAAGGGTGATTGCAATGACATCATTCTTTGCAAATATCAATCTAGTCTTACTGAAACCACCAAAAAGCCGGCCTGATGGTGTTTTGCTAGCCATTGGTACAGAGACGACTGCATCGACAAGAAGTAAAGCTGAGCTTCCAAAAAAATATCCGCAGACACTAAACGGTTAGGATGGACAGTTGGAGATGCTCCACCGTAAAGGTTAACTCAGTGAACATTAAACGAACAGTTTGAAACCACCATAAAAAGGCAGACCACTTAATATCCTCTCATGCATTTTAACAAAACATGGATGTGATAAGCCTTTCTCATGTGACCTGGCAGTCCATGATTGAGCTTCAAATATAATTTCCCTTTTTCAGGTCAGGGCTTCACCAAACTCCTATATCTGTAGTTTGAAAGACCTCAAACATTTCCAGTCAGCTCCTGTCTCAAGTGCCGCTGTCAGTTTGATCTCTGAGGAGGCTCTGTAGGCCTGTATCTTTGAGAGTGTCGGAAAGATACTGATGATTTTTTATCAGCTCTTGGGGGAAGAGTTCAAAAATCAAAAACCAAAGACTTTGTCTTTAAAAACCAAGCAGAGCAGTAAATAATGAGGCAACAGCAGTTTCTTGATGTTTGGGGATGTTTTCATGTGAATTTGTTTTCTTCAACATTAAATATGCTGATGTATATATGCAGACTTCAGCTCAGTCTTTTCTAAAAAGCCATAGTATTATTTTTATTTTGTCTTCTTCTGATAGCTTGCACTGCTCAGCTCATTATCACAGCTACATACCAAAATCACAGGCGTCTCACCTAATGATTTGATTCATCCCTTTGTTTGAATTTGCTGTTTTCAGCTCTCTAAATCCTGTAGTTTAAAAGAACTTATGTTTTTTTTTTCTTTCTGTGTCTTAAAGGGATATTCTGGCATAAGATTAAGTCATGGTCAAAAACGCAGTAAGGCCGAGTTAGACACCCCTTCAAGAGATGAATGTTGCCGACTCTAGTTATAACAACTTTAGTAACGATAGCAATACACAGTGGTCTATGTCTCTGGACAACTGCAAACGAAAAAGACGCTCTATAGCCACAAATAATGCTCAGAACAGCACCTAACTTTGTCAACAGTCCATATAGGGTCCCAGTCATAGTACTGGCCATTAAAACATCTTTTTAGCTTTGCCTGGTTTCTTTAGCAAAGGGACTTAACACTTGTTTGTGGGGGAGCCCTGACGAGTCGATCACTGAGTGCAGCAGAGTTTCGCAGCACAAGGAAGAACATTTATGATTATTATTTCATGGAAATGCAATCAGACTGAGACTCTAAGGCTAAGAACTACCGCGTCTGCAGTGCAAAATAATGATAATTATGGTTATTACTTCATGGAAATAATCCGCTGCACTCTGTTTTCGACTTGTTAGGGCTACCCCACAAACAAGCGGCTGCTGGAAGAGAGTGGGTGAGTTGTGTTTGGTCTCTTTGCAAAAAAAAAAAACAGGCAAAACTAAAATGATTTTTGGTGGCTAATGCTATGATCGAGACCCTATATGTAATGTTGATGAAATTAGGTGCTGTTCTGAGCATTATTTGTGGCTAAAGAGTGGCTTTTTGTTTGAGGTTTATGTGTGGAGACGTAGACCATTACTATTGTGCGGTCGTTACTAAAGTTGGTATAACTAGAGAAGCAAGCAGTCGGCAACATTCATCTCTAGAGGGGGTATCTAACTCGGTGTTATAGGGTGTTTGACCCTAACTTAAATTTACGCTGGAATATCCCTTTTAACTTGTCTATCATTCAGAGGCTGTCTCCATTTGATAAGCCATGTGAGATGAATTTTGCGGTGCACAGGTCAGTGTGCAGAGCTTGGCTCCATGCTGATACATTAGGATTGTAAAGACATTCTTATTTACACAAATTAACTGTTTTTTCAATACTAACTCAGGCTAGCACCATGCTTTTTTCCCCTGCTTATCATGTGTAGACAGTCTGCTTCCAGTTGTTGTTGATAAAACCTGAGTAGTTCCCTAGCTGCCTAACCTACGCTTAAAAACTTCTCTTACCTTCTCCTCTTATTTCTTTCCCTTCTGCTCTCAACCCTGTTTTCATTTTTTTTCATGGCATCTGTCTTCTATCCATTTAATTCTCCCCTTCTTCTCCCTGCCTTTGAGTTTTTTGCTCTCCCTTTCCCCACACTGTCCCTTCACCCTCATCTTCACAAGTTATGCCTTCAAACCTCCCCTCCATCCTCCCATGCCTCCATCCCTCCTCCCTTCTTGTTTGCGTAGGCCTGACCAGTAAGGGCGGTGGTCAGGGTGAATCCCAGGTTCTGGATTGGTTAGAAGAAGTGGAGGAGAGTGGAACTGATTGGTTGAACGGTTTCTTCACTTTCCTATACGGTCTGATAAACCCCTCGGAGACCCTGGAGGAGGAGGAGCACAGTAACACAGGAGGAGTCCTGGAGGCACAGGAAGATGACGAGGAGGATGAAGATGAGGAAAGAGTCAGAAGAAGAGGAGCCAAAGATGATGGAAGTCAGGGTCAGAAGATAGTCATAGTTGGCCTCCAAAACCAATAGCCTCAGGCCACGTGCTGCAGAAAAAGTCTCTTCAGATGCCTCAGCAGCCAAAGCTCAAGTCAGGTGGAAGCTTTAGATACACCACTGTATCTTTGCTGACATTGCGTTATGGGGCCAAGCATCTTCCCAGTGAGAATACCAAATGTCTGTCAAACCTTCAAACAAGCTCCATGACGGTATCGACTGGATCTCTGCAGGGATGTCCTTTTGAAGTTTGACATCACCTTGCACTTATATGTGGACCTGGAACTCAGGAACTCTTTTTTTTTTTTTTTTTTTTTTTATTTATTTATTTTTAGTTCAAACCTTTTGTAGTCTTTTATAGCAGTATTTTTGCCACTCAGATGTGAGTGACACTGACTTACCTGCAGTGCTGAGGAGCAGATTCAGCTCAGCCCAGCTGCTTTCGCTAACTGTCTTTTCCTACTGCTGCATGATCAGTGACATATTTACCCTAGACCATTGTACTGTAAGCATGAATTTGTACTTTTGAAACCCTCTGTCAAACCTATGGCTGAAAACTTGTCTTGGACTGTATTTATACCTGGTGTTAACATGCATTCTAAGCAGAACAGGGATTATAAATGCAACAAAATGCATTGAAATGGACTAAGCTTGTGTTTTCAGAGGCTTGTTCATGGTGAAACACGATCAAGTCTCTGTCATTAAGAGAGTACCGTCTAAACTTGCTTTTTTTAGATAGCTGAAGTTATGTTTTGGTGCTATGTTATTAAGATTTATGGATTGATTGACAGATGAAGCACAAAATCTATAGTTGCTCATTTTGGAAATGAATCCCAGCAAAGTATTTTACATCAAGTCACACGAATAATAAAAACCAACCTTCCTAGCTAGATGAAATGTGTGTCAGTATCTTTCTGCATCTCTGCTTTGTGTCAAAAGTTACAGGCAACTCCTCAGCAAAGGAGACATGAGAACAGCATTTTCATGGTTCTGGTTTTGGGAGACTTTTCCTAATGGTGAGATCCTGTAACATGGTCCAGTTTCACAGATTACTTTTGGACAGGTAGATGGCAGTGGAGCAGGTAAAATGATGAACTTTCCTTTGCTGACAAGGACTCAAAACAAGACTGACATTGCGTAAACCCCCAAGGATGTGCAGACAGGAGCTTTAATTTTGGAAATAGAAAAAAAGAATTAATAATAAAATAAAATATAGCTTAAAAAATCTCCTCTCTTCACTCCTCTCATTTCTCTCACTCCTCTCTCTTTAACTCTTCACTCCACTGTTATATTCAACATTACTTGTTTTTGTCGTTGTTTTTTTTGTTAATTCTGAATTATCTCACAACTTCAGTCAAGACAAATGCATTGGGAAAAAAGGACCCAGTTTAAAAAAATAGTGAAGTTTGTGAAGGATGTGCCTGAGATGTTAAACAACTGGTTTAATTTGGCATACTGAACACCTCAACTCTGTGCCAATGATCAGACCTGTGGATGGACTGATTGATCAGTTTGCTGAATAATTGAGCTGAAATATTTATTTATTTATTTTTCTTTTTTTACATAACCTGCATCATATCAGCATCGACCCTCACAAGGCCGATTTCACCATCATCTTTTCTGAATAACTCATCTTCCTCATCCCCATATCAGATCCAAAGCAGTCACTAACCAGTGTTTTAATATTGTAATGTAATATGAAGTATTGACTGCAGTATCAGCCATGTTTAGCAATCTACACTCACCGGCCACTTTATTAGGTACACCATGCTAGTGACGGGTTGGACCCCCTTTTGCCTTCAGAACTGCCTCAATTCTTCGTGGCATAGATTCAACAAGGTGCTGGAAGCATTCCTCAGAGAGCTTGGTCCATATTGACATGATGGCATCACACAGTTGCCGCAGATTTGTCGGCTGCACATCCATGATGCGAATCTCCCGTTCCACCACATCCCAAAGATGCTCTATTGGATTGAGATCTGGTGACTGTGGAGGCCATTTGAGTACAGTGAACTCATTGTCATGTTCAAGAAACCAGTCTGAGATGATTCCAGCTTTGACATGGCGCATTATCCTGCTGAAAGTAGCCATCAGAAGTTGGGTACATTGTGGTCATAAAAGGATGGACATGGTCAGCAACAATACTCAGGTAGGCTGTGGCGTTGCAACGATGCTCAATTGGTACCAAGGGGCCCAAAGAGTGCCAAGAAAATATTCCCCACACCATGACACCACCACCACCAGCCTGAACCGTTGATACAAGGCAGGATGGATCCATGCTTTCATGTTGTTGACGCCAAATTCTGACCCTACCATCCGAATGTCGCAGCAGAAATCGAGACTCATCAGACCAGGCAACGTTTTTCCAATCTTCTATTGTCCAATTTCGATGAGCTTGTGCAAATTGTAGCCTCAGTTTCGTGTTCTTAGCTGAAAGGAGTGACACCCGGTGTGGTCTTCTGCTGCTGTAGCCCATCTGCCTCAAAGTTCGACGTACTGTGCATTCAGAGATGCTCTTCTGCCTACCTTGGTTGTAACGGGTGGTTATTTGAGTCAGTGTTGCCTTTCTATCAGCTCGAACCAGTCTGGCCATTCTCCTCTGACCTCTGGCATCAACAAGGCATTTCCGCCCACAGAACTGCCGCTCACTGGATATTTTTTCTTTTTCGGACCATTCTCTGTAAAGAGATGGTTGTGCGTGAAAATCCCAGTAGATCAGCAGTTTCTGAAATACTCAGACCAGCCCTTCTGGCACCAACAACAATGCCACGTTCAAAGTCACTCAAATCACCTTTCTTCCCCATACTGATGCTCGGTTTGAACTGCAGGAGATTGTCTTGACCATGTCTACATGCCTAAATGCACTAAGTTGCCGCCATGTGATTGGCTGATTAGAAATTAAGTGTTAACGAGCAGTTGGACAGGTGTACCTAATAAAGTGGCCGGTGAGTGTATATCATAACCCAGTATCTATGTTTTTCTATTGATTCATTAAAAATCCCTCCATAACATGTCACTAGCTAAGACAACTAGTGCTGCAACAAACGACTATTTTTTTGTCGACTAGTCGTCCGATTAATCACGATTAATCATCTTCTTTATTTATAAACACCTATTTCCGGGGTGTCGGCGTTTCAGGTGCTCATGCATCGCCGTGGTGCTGCCACGGTAGGAAAGCTGAGCTTTGATCGACGTGTTATTTTGGTTTGTTCTCCGTAGAATGTTTCCAAACTTTTGAAGTTTTGGGTCGGAGTTTTGGAGCGTCTTTTTCGGTTCGTTCTGCCATAATGTGTGCACTCTTCTTCTGTGTTTGCCAAATCCAAAAGTCTCCTCTGACACATTTAACTGAGTCAAACACTTACACCATCTGCGTCTGTTTGATTAGATTCTGTCATTTTCAGACATTCAGTTTTTAATTTATTAGTTTTATATCAGTAAAGTCTTTTGTCAAAAAAAGAGGAAAATAATCAACAATGATATTGGTGTTGTATATCACCTGCTCTCTCAAAATCAGTATCGGCCTCTGAAAAACTAATCAGTCACCAACTTATCAGACGTTTGAGCTGGTGTTATTATTTATTTTTATTCTTTGAGTAAGGTAAGAATAAAGTAATTTACCCTCAAGGGAAAATTTGATGTTTAATAAGTTAACAGTTTAAACATTAGCTCTCTCCCTTAACATGCTGCTCATCTGTCTCTCTGAGAGCGTGGCATGTTGCATCAATGTTAGACAGCTGCTGGGTTAGCATGTTGAAGTCTATGTTCTGACCACAGAGCCTAGAAATCAACATGTAACAGGATCTTGATTGCATGTCTGTGTCTGGTGAAAATGGGATCTCAATCCCTAAAAGTTGTCCCTGCAGGTGTGGGAAAATACTCTCAGGTGTGTTTGTGATCTCTGTAAGATTACTCTGTGTCCTTACAGGTAAACAGTTTAGTTGTTGCTTATGCTATTCCTCTCTCTCAGCTATGTATTTTTGAAGCATTAGACCGGTATCTAACAGCTACAGTGTTTACCAGTCATAAGCCTGATCCAGTTTGATCTTCGGTTTGTACACACTATTCAAACAGCTGACACTGCAGTTTTGTTTGTTTGTGTTTGATGTCGGTGTTGAGAGAAACATGCACTACAAAATAAAAGCATGATGTGTGCTGTGATTCAGTCTGGAGGCACGCTGAATCGTTAAGCTGGAATCTTCTTTAATTATTACTTCAGGCTGGGATGAACGAAATCCCCTACAGGACTGTTGTCTTACAAATAGTCAAGGGTGTGTGCGCGTGTGTGTGTGTATCTGTAACTGGTGTGTAAAGGAGACACGGGCTGCTTTGAATGCATGGATGACACCTGGTTTAAAAAACAGGCCCTTCCTGCTCTGGCCTGGAAGGGTTCCAGTTTGGAGTATTAAAAGAATGAATCCACGTGATGCTGCCGAAGCAGCAGTCTAACTCTGGAGAGGGAGGAGCAATCCATGTTTGTAATCTATACATCTGTGAGCTTCTTTATTTTGGGACATCAGTATAGAGATTCTCTAGTCTCAAAGGGGTGTGTCAGTCCTTATTTCATTCCATGTGCTCATAAATACTGACAGAAATTAAAATGGATTTCAAAAGCACTTGTTCATTGTGCACAGAAAAGTCCAACTTCAGTGACATGTGTATACCTCTTGCTTTTTTAGAAAATTACTAAAAGTGCAGTATTTTTCTTTTTCTGAAACCCTTTACATTAGGATAGGAAAAAAACCTAGAATTTGAACCAGATCATTCAGCCTTGACTTTTGAATGACATATAAACACTACAAATCCCAGATGTTCATCTGGTCTCAAAGCCCCCCTTTTCCTACACTGGGTTCGGCTCGCACAGACTCTGACACCCTGTGGAAAAGTAGAGGAAGCATTTGTTGAGGGAACAGGTGAAGTTCTGATAACTTAAGCGATAAACCACCCATCAGTCACCTTTAGTAAAATGACTTTTAAACTGAGCCATAAGCCCCTCAACGGCACTTTCTACCAAGAAAAAAACTTGGTCTTCTGCAAGTGAATGTCTAGACCTTTCACTGCATGTTCACTAACACTAAAACCTAGTGATGAGTATCATGAGAAGACACTTTTGGGAGCTTGCTTTGGTTTTCAAAGTAAAATTTTCCCGTTTTTTTTATTTCTGCAAAGATTCCCCTCGTTGTCACACAATAATTAATATAATTATAATTATTTCATTAAAGAAGTAACCTACAGAGCAAATAACTGCATACCCTGCCAAACCAAATTAAATGGAAGTTGCTCAGTAGAAGTGCAGTTTAGGTTTTACATATCATTCCTGAAAAAACAAGGTTTCTGAATAGATTGTGGTTGGATATCGTTGAGCTAAAGTCATTGTTGTGTGTTCCTCTTACGTTTGCTCTTTATCAAACCTCTTGATGGATAATACACCCAGACTTTACTTGGGACAAAAGAAGCTAGGTCTGCAACTTAAGTCTTTGTGGAAGTTAGCTGCAGCCTGGAGCTCAATAAACCCTGTGAGAAAACAGTTGTTTCAGCTCTATGAATAGCTTCAAAAGAAACATTCGCCTCATGGATGGAGCGATCACATCATTGTCTGTAACGAAGACCAAGAATCACAGATGATTGGGGGAGCAGTGTTTAACCTCTGTCTGCTTTGTTTAAACCCCAGATGAAAAACCCAGAGATTCGGCTCGGACAGGGCCTAAGAAAGGTATCATCATGCAGCTGTTTGCATGAAGCTGTGCTGTGACTTAGTGAGGACTGGACTAACTAAAGATTTTTTGAATTTCTGACAGCTTGGTCGTGATCTTGGTTTTAACTGACTTGATTTACATTTGCTGTATTCAGTGATGATCCAGGTTAATTTGTGAATGTGTTCTTAACCTGCTTCAGGTTTTTGGTGGTTAACAGTTTTGTGCTTGAACTTGAAACCAAAGGCGTAGAACATGAGTGTCCAGGTCCTTTAAGACCTCAGACCAGCATAGATCCTCTTTGGTCAGTTTTACATAGTTTTGACTTCCTCTGCTCAGAGGTAACAGAGTGAGAACAGCATGATTTAACAATGGATAAATACAGTCCTGATTCATTCACTGACTTATCTGACCCATGTGTGGTGATACATAATAACAGAGTGAATTTTGGCATGAACGATACAGTCTATTAAACGTCTTCATAAAAACATCACACGGTGTCACTGCTTCCTCAACCCAGAACCCTCTACAATCAAAGACGTGGGCTGGAAGCTGCGAGAGGCTTTAAAGCAGCAGCTGGCCATCATCCATGAACGTGTAGAGGCCAAGAAGCTTGCCAAGTTGGCTCTGGCTGAGGTCCGAGAGCTTCTGGCGAAAGAAGAGGAAGAGAAAGAGCTGGAGCTGGGGAGGAAGGAAATAACAACCAGGGTGAAGGAAAGAGTGGCTGCCAGGCTAAAGGAGGAAGAAGAGAAGATTGAAAAAGAAGAAATGGTGAAGGCTCTGGAAAAACTCAAAAAGGAAAAATCAAACCAACTGGACGAGAAAAAGGAAGAAGTGGTCAAAGAGGGGGACAAGAAGCAAAAGAACACCGGAGAGAACAAGGAGAAGTCTGGGAAAGAGGGGGAGGAGAAGAAAGCGAAGCAGGAAGACGAGGGGAGAGGGACAGAGTCTGCCAAGGATAAAAGAAAGAAGGGCAGAGCTGATAAATCCGAGCGAGGAGGCATTAAGAAAAAGTAAGGTGTTAAAGGACGGTCGTCCGTACCAATTTTATCACCTATCAAAACATCAGCTCCATATTTAATCTCCATTCTTAAACCAATAGAGAATGAAATATCAGTGTTTCCAAGTTCCTTTCAGATAACATTTGGCACTGTGTGTAGAGTCTGAAAATGATCCCCAGATGAGATTAATGAAAGCTAACTGAAATGACAGAGCTGTTTCAAGCTCTTCTACGCTTTTCTTACTGCAGGAGTCCTCATGTTGGGTTTTCATAAATACAGTCTTTTCCTCTGTCAATAAAGTTTCTGGATCTGTGTAAAGGCCTCTTCTCTAGCATGTGCAATGGGTTCTGAGTTTTTGTGCTTGGACAGAGACCACATGATGAATCAGCTGTCCTCTGTGCCAAACTACAGTCAATCATTTTGGGGGGAAAAAAACTGTGAACGCTCCATTCAAGACCCTGCATTAACCTTTCATATACTCAATATTCAAGATATGGAAACTAATAATTTAAAAATCACAAGACACACCATAAGCAGACTCAACTTTACGAGGCCCTTGTAAGTCAGCAAAAAACCCACGCTTCTGCTCCCTTGCCTGAAGGGGAACCTTGTTAAAGGGAGATTCCGGCGTAAAATTAAGTTTTGGTCAAACACAACTTAACACCAAGTGAGACACCCCCTTGAGAGATGAATGTTGCTGACTGCTTGCTTCGTATACTTGCTTGTTATACCAACTTTAGTAAGGACCACACAATAGCAATACACAGTGGTCTACGTCTCCACTCTATAGCCACAAATAATGCTCAGAACAGCACCTCACTTCATCAACAGTACATATAGGGTCCCAGCCATAGTACTAGCCACCAAACATCGTTTTAGCTTTGCCTGATTTCTTTAGCAAAGAGACTAAACACAACTCACCTACTCTCTTTCAGCAGCCGCTTGTGTTGGGGAGCCCCAACGAGTCCATCACCGAGTGCAGTGGAGTTTCGCAGCTCAAGGAAGAACATTTATGATTATTACTTCATGGAAATGCAATTGGAGTTTTTATGTATCTTGTATGTACACTGCAGACACAGTAGTTCCTCTGCCTTACCGTCTCGGTCTGATTGCATTTCCATGAGGAAATAATCATGAATTTTCTGCTGCACTCGGTGACCCACTTGTCAGAGCTCCCCCACAAACAAGAGACTGCTGGAAGAGAGTGTGGAGACAGTTGGTGCTGTTCTGAGCATTAGTTGTGGCTATAGAGTGGCTTTTTGTTTGAGGTTTGTGTGTGGAGACGTAGACCACTGTGGATTGCTATTGTGTGGTTGTTACTAAAATTGGTATAACTAGAGAAGCTAGCAGTCAGGAACCCTCATCTCTCAAGGGGGTGTCAAACTCCGTGTTACGGTGTGTTTGACCATAAGTAAAATTATGCCCTTTAAGTGTAATGATGTTCCTGATAATATAATAACTATGTATCCAACACTTTTGTACCAATAAGCTCCGTAGCAAATTAACATCTGATAGACAAACTTCACTCACTGAGAAAAAAAAAACAGATTATAATCTGTGGACTCTATTTGTGACAGTAAACCTCACTTATTGATCATTAGGAATGATGGCCATACTGTCACACACCCAAGTGAACACAGCATAACAAACACACATTTTTTGCCAACAACTTGTGCATCATCTCATGTAGGACTGAAAGAGAAAGCTGTTGTGGTCACTTCCCGTTCTGGAGAGGCCTCAGCCCCAGTGGAGACACCTGAACCTGAGCAAGCACCTGAAGGTACCACTAATGTTTATTACACACACACGATCATGTCCTAACAGGGTCACCATCACAGGAACATGGTGGTAGATGGTTGGAGAAGATGGAGTGATCTTGTTATCATGACATGGTGAAACAGTGAGATTACACACTTGCGTTACACACTAAGGGTTGCACAAGTGTTGTGTAACTTTATTGTCCACTTTTGCAACTTTTGGTTAAAGTTAAACAAGTAGACAGTAAAGTTGGATTGATAAGATTAAAACCAAAAAGTACAATAGTGTTAAGTGCACAGAGGTTGAAACACCAGTTTAAAGACTTTTTAATCTCCACTTTGATTCAGCTGACTACACACACCTGAAAGGTTTTAGTTTTCTGAAAGTGGACAGGAAATCAAAGCTCACAGTACCTGTCTGTGCCAGGGGAAAAAAGAAAAAAGTTCCAGAGAAGTAAGAGTTAACACTCCTCAGAGGATTTGTCACATCCCATTCATGCCTGTTCATCCCTCCTTTTTCGTGTCAGCTGTTGCTGAGCCAGAACCTGTGCCTGTGGAAGAAGTGGTTGAAGCTGCTACAGCAGATGACACAGCTTCAGCTCCACCAGGTGTGTATGCAAGTGCTTTCATTTGACAACAGAGTGGTCTTAGAATATGTAAAATACACAAAACCTTGATAGATGGAGCAATTATTAACCAATTCTCCCACTGACTACCTGAACACACTTTTTACCAACTGTGTATTCAGTGTTGTTGGAGCTGTATGGAATAATCATCCTTTCAGGAGGTGCTGAAAATCATAAAATTTACTCCAGGGATCTGTTTCCCTGAAGTTGAAATCACCTGATATAAACTCAGGATCATTAGCTGACCTGAATCCTTGTTTATGCTTTTCTGTATTAACTGTGTCAGAAGAGTTTAAAGGGGTATGCTAGGAAAAGATCAGGTACTCTGGATGAAGGCCATCTTAATGGATTTAGTCTGATGTGGGAGCAGGCTCTACATGGTTACTATAATTATTGTTAGTGTCTAATAAATAAAACCTACGCAGAAATATTTGACATGGCAAACAAAACAAAAAAATCCTTCATTTGGAGTGAAGTAAGTTTTAGAAAAAAATAGCTTTTATGTTGGTTAAGAGCATTAACATATGCAAAAAAAACTGCATCCTTCACAGTGAGTGTTTCATATTTCTGTTACCAGTGCACTCACATTAGACCACTGACTAGTGGAGCATCAGCTCTGATGGTTTCCTCCAGTGTTCTAGTTTTTGTAATGATGATGATAAACTTTGAGTGAAGCAGACAGGGCAAGGACTGAACTTCTCCTGTATCATGGAGTCTCCAAACTGGAAGAAAAGATTTTCCATGCTTCTCTTTTTAGAGCCTGAACCCGAGGAAACACCTGAACCTGAGGCAGTAGAACCTGAGCCTGAACCAGAACCTGAGCCTGAACCAGAGCCTGAAGAAATTCCTGAGGTTTGTACACATTTTTGTAACTCTCTGTGAAGGTGGCTTCATTTACAGAAAACATGCCTGAAAGCTGATTTCTTGTTTGTTTTGTTTTCCCCTAAATCATTTTCATACTCCAAACCTCGCTGGACTGCTAGATATCACCGTGTCTGTCTTTTACTGTAATAATATCCCTCTGTTGTGATTCAGGTTAAATATCAGGGAGACCTGAAGAATATTTGCCCCTTTATCAGTTCAGCCTCTTTAGATGGATAGGAGGCTGACAGAGAAAACACAGTAGACTGAAATATAAAATACCATGTCAGACAACAGCTAACACTCACCAGATATTATTGTGATGTTACCTATAGCCAACACATGAAGTATCAACTCACCACTTTACCTCAAGACTTTCATGGTCAGCTGTTCGATCATGTGTTTTTTAAACACATAGAGGTGAGATGAGGATGACTGTCAGCTATATTCACTTAAAACCTGGAAAGCTGTGGTACAGGATCAAAACATCATCTGATCTCTCCACCCTCAGAATAATCCAGGTTTGGTGGTGGATCAACCCTCTGTTATCTACAACCAAACTTGGACGTTTCAAAACTGCACCAGTCCCAACAGATTTTCATGAATCTTGATGGATTGATCTTCAGATCAGAGAGGGCTAAAAATCGTTTTATCCTTGAAGCTGAAACTGGTTTCTTACATTCAGTAACAATGAAAGGAAAAAATGTGTTTCAGGTGATTGAGGAGGATCCAGAGGTGCTGGAAGAAGAAGCTCCAGCTGCGGATGAGGCTGCACCAGAGGAGGTAGGTACAGGTCTGTAAAAACCTTCCTAAAAGGACAGACTGGATTAGTCGGCATGTCACTCAACTGTTGAGCTGAGATGTTTGTTAGTTTGTCTGGTGTTTGGTTGTTTTAAAGTTTAGGTTTCACTTGAGGATAAAAAACTGATCAGCCGGATGTGCTCTTGTACCTGAGAGCAGATGGTGCCAGTCTTGTCCCTTTGTTGAAATGCAGAGCTCAGATTAAGACCAAGCAGTTTTAATATTGGCCACAGAGAACCAGAGTGAGGTGTTGAGGGATCCAGACTCTACAGATAGTGGGTTTATCTGCAGAGTGGCAGACAAAGAGGTGAAGCAAGAAAACCTCCAAACTCTAAGAGAGACAGAGTCTGTGAATTTACTGTAACACTTAAGGGGTAAAAATGTAGGAGCTAAACAGAGAGGCCTATACCGAGAGAAATAGGATCTCTTTTAGAGCTTATGCATCGTTAAACAGACATGGAGCTTGACAAGGATCAGTAACTGAATCAATAACTGCCTTCATCAGCAGCTTTTCTTCATCACTTTGAATGTGTCGTACTTTTATAAGTTATTTTATAATTATTATAAGTTTAAATTAGAGTCAACAGGTGAAGTATTGATCATGAGCAGTGATAGCAGTCTCTGCTGGGATGTAATGGTCAGTCTGTGATTCAGGGAGAATCCAGCCTGCTCCCCTGTAACGGACTCAACACTGAATCAAAAATGGTCATAGCTGACTCAGACCTGGCGTCTGCTCTGCTGTGATCTGTAAAAAGTGATGAATTAACTCTAAAAGAAGAGATCCAGACGTGCAGACAGAAGCTACAACAGTGCATCTCTACACTGTAGTTACTCGTGTACCACTGCTTGTTAGCAGACACTCATAGCTTGTTTAGTTGCCGGGCGACAGCGTGCTCCTCTGTGCTGATTTTAGTTCTGTTAAGACTTCATCATTGGAAGGGAAATTCCATAATGACACTAATCAGGCTTTTCCTGGTCTGTAAACTGTTCAGAGGTCAAAGGTCATCCCTGCTCAAAAGCCAAAGGTACATATTTCTGTTTCAAGAGAAAATGGATATGTTTTTATGACAGAGCAATGTTACTTGATTCCAGGATGCTCCGGCTGATGAGGAGGCAGCAGCTGAGGAAACTGTGGCTGAGGAGATTGTTGAGGAGATTGAGGAGGTTTTGGAGGAGGTGGCCTCAGAAGTAGTAGAAGAAGCTGCAGCTGAGGAAGAGGAGGCTACTGCCACAGAAGACGCTGTTGAGGAACAAGCTGAGGAAGAGTCTGCTCCTGCTGAAGAGGCTACTGAGGAGCCTGCAGAGGAAGAAGAGGCTGCTCCTGCAGAAGAGGCTACTGAGGAGCCTGCAGAGGAAGAAGAGGCTGCTCCTGCAGAAGAGGCTGCTGAGGAAGAGGAGGCTGCTGCTACAGATGATGCTGTTGACGCTGTGGCAGAGGAAGAAGAGACCACTCCCTCAGAAGACGTGGAAGAAGTAGAAGAAGAAGAGGCAGCAGCTGAGGAGCAGGAAGAAGATGCAGCTACCGAAGAAGTAGCAGAGGAGGAGGAGGAGGAGGCAGCACCAGAGGATGCAGGGGCTGAGGAGCCTGCCGAAGAGGAGCAAACTCTAGAGGAGGAGATAGTAGAAGGTAAATAAAGGATATCTAAAAAGTACTGAGACTGTGTTAGTGTTACTTTGATGTCCCAGTGACCTCTTTGGACTTGAATCCACATTTCAGCCTAAATGAACAGTCCGGATTCAAAGAGGGGTACAGGGATCACAGGTTAACGGATCAGAGTCAAGGACAGAGCTGATGGACTCAATCAGCAGGAGCTGAAGTTTTTAAATGAACACTTTCATCTCTGTTAGTGACTAAAATGCTAGCTAGCTGCCACAGAGCTGCCTGTGGAGACTTTAGCAACCAGGTTCAAGTTAGATGATGAGTCTAACAAATGTTTGTATTCATGTGACAAATACTACAGTAAACCTCCCTCTATAGCCGTCAGAGAGTTCAGTGGTTGCACAGGTGTCACCCTGGCCACTGTGAACAAACACACACACACACACCAGAGCGTACAGTTGTATTTAGACAGTATGAACACACTGTATTCCACTGTCCAGAGGTCAGTACATACAGTATCTGTCTTTCTTCCTTCATACCAAACACAGTTCTTCTTCTGCCACACTTTAAACTCTGTCTTTGATTTTTTTTTTTTTTTTATGTCCATCAGAGTCAGAATACCAACATGATTTGTTCAAAACTGTCACGAGTTTCTTTAGTTTTCTTTGCAGTGCTCACTGCAGATATACACACAAACACACACAAGGACTCCAGCTAATGCATGATGAGATCTGTGAGCAGTATGCCGACCCTACCTGTGAATCCTTGTACTGTAACTGAACGTTTCTTTGTTTTTGCAGCAGCAGCAAAGTTTGTGGAGACAGAGGAACAGATTCAGGATGAGCCCACAGGTAAACTCTGACAGTATTTATTTTACAATCATATAAATATAAAGTATCAGCTACTCAAGTTTTGGACACAGGAAGGAGAAAGTCTTCAGTATATTTGTCTTTAAATTCTTTAAATCTGAAAGTGAAAACTTGGAATTAGTAAAAAAGTGTTAATTCGGAAACAGAGAAAAGAAAAGACTCAAAGTTCACAGTGACTCAAAATGCTGACATTTCAGAGTCCTGCTGCACAGATGAAAAATTATTGATAAGTTATGTAATTCTGAAGTAATGGCACACAGCCTGAATGTAAGGGTGTTTCCAACATGATCTTGCTTATCAGCTGATGCACTATGGCTGCTGTTCAGCATAGCACATTATCTGATCCTTTGATACTAGAGAGGCTGTGAATGGGCTTTGACTCTTTCTTCAAGTTCCCCGACTGAAGAATCACTACACAGTGTAAAGAGGTCTGGGTGAAGCTCTTTGTGACAAACCTCATAACTAGATCCCAACACCATATGTCACCGTACCAGTATAAAATCAAATGTATTTGTAGGGCAGGAAATTTATGATCAGAATAATAGTATTTTAAATGAGAAGTAATGACTTAGAAACAGTCTTATAATGCTGCCAGTTTGAGGAGTTTCTGATGGTGATGAAAGCCTGAGAAAACAAACAGTACAACAAACTTGAACTATAGAATAGTGTGAATAAAGTGCATTAGTATGTGTTTAATGTCTAACATACACACACGTGTGTAGTCACATGTAAGACTCAAACATGCTGTTCATGTTCTCCCCAGAAACGTAGAGGCTGCTGCGTTCATCATGGGCACGGAGCAGGGACCCTCTGATACTGATCCCAGCACACTTGGACCAGCGATGATGCACCTCTCCATCTCCAGAAAAATGATTGAGTCGCTACGGCGACACCTATCTTTGTCCCTCTCCATATGTTTTCACCCCTTCCTTTAAACTTTCTCTTGATATGGACGAATGAGATAATGAATTAATTGTTTACCGATGTATTTCTCCCCCTTCTTTCCCTTAACCTTTTCTGGTTCGACCCTTTTTCAGTTTTCTTCCAGAGGGTTTGTAGGACTACCAAAACTCAGGCCACACAAAGTCTTTGTCTTGCAGCCATTCCACCAGAGTCCTGCGCTGGAAGGAGCTGTACCAGTAAACCTGTCTGGAACCTTCAAGTCTTTCAGTGACATAGCTTTGCTTCCTCTCACTCAGTTCTGTTCAGCATACTGAAGGCAAAGTTCCTAACTGAGTCTGTCTCAGATCAGTCTCTGTGGACTCTGTGGACTTTGTGGTTTCAGGCGCACAACAGAAAAGGGATTCTGCTCTGAACAATGCATCCACATCTCATCTCCACAAATTGTTTTACAACAAAGCAAATCCTGTACCTGTGTCCTGCTCACAGTCTTGTAATGCTATGCAAACCTGTCTGGATGTCCTCTGCCCCCCCACCCCCTGGGCTGCCAGGTTATTTACCACTTGTATGTGTGGATTTCAGGATGAGCCACATACTACCTTTAGATTTCACATAAAAGCTGGTATGAAGTGTGAGTGAGTATGTTTGCGGATGTCCTACCCTCAGTGAGAGAGCTCTTGTGTGTTGTGTGACAAATCTCTTTTTGCTTCATAATCCTTCTGTGAGCCGTAGCTGTGTTATGTCCAGTTTAAAGATAGTGTTTCACTTGTTTTTTGTTCTTTAATCTGTACCTCAGTGTGATTTTGTTGTGTAGATCCTTAGCTTTCTTTCTTTCTTTCTTTCTTTCTTTCTTTCTTAGTGTTTCCGATGCAAGTACTAACACCATTTAAAACTAGCAAGAATTTTGAACTGAAGTCTATCCCTCAGACTTAAGCTCTTTCTGTTTTAAACTGTGACATAGATGAGGAAAGCTGACCATCTTTGGTGTAAATTTTTTTTTTTTTCCAGCTACACATTCAGATCCAACCCAACAGGCAGATTTAGGAGGATTGAGATTTTAAAGACTTTGGACTTCGGATTTCTGCATCAGTGTAATCTTGTTCTTTTCTCAAAGGGAAACCTGGTGATTGTTCCTTTAAGTTCTCCTCTTCCCGGCATTATTAGTCTTGGTGTTTTTGTTTATCCACTGATCCAGGCTCAAACATCAGAAAACTCAACCTCTTCTTCAGCATCTCTTCACTACAGGACTGAATTAAAGGTCAGATGACACCATATTGTGTGTTGTTTTGAAGCTGATGTCCATATGTGCAGGTCAACTTTCCTGGTGTACAGCGAGTAGATTTACATGTGACACTGAGAAAGTTTTGGACACTGTGGACATCACCCTGTTGTTCCGATACTCAAAAACTTTATCAATAGATCAGATTTACGAGGGTTTATTTTTGGAAATTACACTACAGTTAGAAACAGAGGAGAGCAAGGACAGCATTCCTCCATACTTCAAAAACTTGTTTCATTTAGCAGAACAGTGGAAATGTGTTTCTGTAGCCTTGACAGACTCTATCCTCCAGACTGAGGTATGTAACACGCTCTGTTGTTGTGCAGTAGTTCTTTGTAAGATGTCCTCTGTATTCTTCTGTAACAATAGCTAGTCTTTTCTACTTCTTCACACTTTGTGAGTCAATGTGAACTGTAAAAGCTTTTTAAAATTCAAGATTTCAATCTGTATCAAGTCGAAACCTAGATTTTTGAAAATAAACGTTTTTTAAAAAGACTTGAGGGAAAAAAAACTGTTGCATGGAAAGCTTTTCACAGAGCTTGACATTGTGCCAGGCGGTTTAAAGAGGCAGTGCTACTTCAGGAAACAAAGGTTTTCTTCCAAGGATTGAAATGGTAGAGCAATAGCATTGAAACAGCAGATTTTTGGGCTTCTTTATACCAATGTTTGATCAGAGTTTATCCACATGCTTGGTAGGGCTGTGACGACATGAAACTCAGTGGCTGGCAGTTAAAAACAGCAAACAGGTTTGTGCAGCAGCAAGCTGACCTGCACAAGGATGCTAATTATTAAAAGTTCCCATGTCTTTGGCCAACAGTGGTGTCTACAGATGTAATGGTATCTTGTAGATGCTTATGATGATTAAGTTATTGTGAAGTAATGGCGGATTGTGTGAAGCAGTTATGAAGTGTCACCATTTTCTGCAAACAATCTGTTGCTACCTGCAATAAAAGGTTTGGGGAAAAAAAGAAATGAGTCTTGTTATTTATGTGGTGTTTTGTGCTTTCATGAGGATGGTTTTATAAGAGAGCTGGTCTGTTTGGAAGAGTACGGAAGAGGATAAGGGCAATGGAAGGAAAAAACTGACTAATATCAGAATTCAGACTTTTTTTCTCATAATGCTAACATGTACGGTATATATTTATGGACTCGCATTGCATTCACCAAAAGATTTTTAAAAAAAGATGGGTTTTTTTAGAGAAGTTTTTTTTTCTTTTCAGTCTTTCAAACTACACTTTTTGTTTGTTTGTCAGACTTACTGTTTTTCCTATTCTCTGGGATCATGATCATTTAAAAACAGACACTGTTATCGCCCTCTGCTCGATTTATTGGAAGCAAACAGCCTTCTTGTTTAAATTAATCAATTTGACTGTCTTTTGGGTTTGAGACACTGAGAGATCCTCCTTTCTTTGAGTCAGAAAGATGGAATCGTCATGAGTTTGTCTACTTTGCGCAGGCCCCTCAGGATTTGATCCCGTAGTCGAAGTTATCTAGGAGCTAGAGAATGATTTGGAGCAGCTGCGGTGGTTCATGTTATCTGATTGTATAAGATTCTTGCAGGACTTTGAAATATCTTGTTTAGTCAGGAATAAAAAAAAACAGTTCAAAAAAAAGAATAAAATTTGCCTGAAAAACAGAATAAAAGGAAAAAATATTATTACAAAAAAATAGAAAAACAGAGAGAAGAAAGAAAATTGTCCAAAAACGGCAAAGGAAAAAAAGATACACAAAAAACACTTTTTTGGGGGGGAAGTGAATGCAATATGCTTCCGTGTACACTGTGTGCACAATTATTAGGCAAGTGAGTATTTTGATCATATCATTTTTATGCATATTTTCCAACTCCAAGCTGTATAAACTTGAATGTTTATTGGATATAAGCATATCAGGTAATGTGTATTAGTGTAATGACGGAGGCTGGGGCCTAAGGAGATCAAAACCCTTTTTTTAAGGTGTGCATAATTATTAGGCAGCTTCTTTTCCTCAGGTAAAATGGGCCAAAAAAGAGATTTAAGTGACTCTGAAAAGTCAAAAAATGTAAAAAGTCTTTCAGAGGGATGCAGCACTCTTGAAATTGCTTAGATATTTGGGCGTGATCACAGAAACAGCAAACATTTTGATGCAAATAGTCAACAGGGTCGCAAGAAATGTGTTAAGAAAAAAAGACGCAAATTAACTGCCAAAGATTTGAGAAGACTCAAACGTAAAGCTACCAGGAATCGCTTATCCTCCGGTGCTGTCATATTCCAGAACTGCAACCTACCTGGAGTGCCTAGAGGTACAAGATGATCAGTGCTCAGAGACATGGCCAAAGTAAGGAAGGCTGAAACCCGACCACCACTGAACAAGACACAAGTTGAAACGTCAAGACTAAGCCAAGAAATATCTGAAGAGAGATTTTTCAAAGGTTTTATGGACTGATGGGATGAGAGTGACTCTTGACGGACCAGATGGATGGACCTGTGGCTGGATCAGTAATGGGCACAGAGCTCCACTTTGAATCAGACACCAGCAAGGTGGAGACGGGGTACTGGTATGGGCTGGTATTATTAAAGATGAGCTAGCTGGACCTTTTCGAGTTGAAGATGGACTTAAAATCAACTCCCAAATCCAATGCCAGTTTTGAGAAGACACTTTCTTCAAGCAGTGGTACGGGCAAAAGTCTGCATCTTTCAAGAAAACCATGATTTTAATGCAGAACAATGCTCCATTGCATGCAACAAAGTACTCCACTATGTGGCTCGCCAATAAAGGCCTTAAAAACGAAAGAATAATGACATGGCCTCCTTCTTCACCTGACCTAAACCCTGTTGAGAACTTGTGGGCCCTTCTTAAACGGAAAATTTACAGTGAAGGAAGACAGTACACCTCTCTGAACAGTGTCTGGAACAGTATCTGGGAGGCTTTGGTTGCTGCAACACAAAAAGTTGATCGTCAACAGATCAAGAAACTGAAAGACTTCATGAATGGAAGGCTTATGACTGTTATTGAAAAGAAGGGTAGTTACATTGGTCACTGATTTTTTTTTTAAATTTCAACAATTTTTATTTGTAAATTGAGTTGTTTGTTTATCATTCTCACTTTTACAAGTGAAAATAAACAAGTGAGATGGAAAATTTTTCATTTTTAATTTAGTTGCATAATAATTCTGCACACTAATAGCTGCCCCCAATAATTGTGCACACATAGATATTCTCCTAAGGAAGTCAAAATCTCACTTTTACTCCCTTAAATTTTAAGGTTTGAGGTTTATTAACATTTTGGATTGACCAAGAGCACTGCAGTTGTTCAAAAATAAAATTTATCCTCAAAAATACAACTTGCCTAATAATTGTGCACACAGTGTATATTACACCTTTTAAAAAAAAAAAAAGTAATGTTTTTCCAGTGGCCCTCATCCTCTTTCTTAAAACAATAATAAACTGACAGTTGTCACAAATTGATGAAATTACCAGCTAAACACATGAATACTTGAAAACAAGCAAGACTTTCCTGTATAGTCCATTTTGTGGTCAATGTTCCTGTAGTTACCTGGTAATTTAAAGGCAGCTGTCAGATACATGTTAAACCAGGTTAGTTCCAGTCAAGGTTTTATCATTTATGAGGTGGTGCATTGAAGTAGCTTTTAAAGGCCATCAAACAGCTAAGATCAATTAGATGTTAGGGCGCTGTTAAGAGAGTGACGATTTTCACTCTAATATATTGTGCCAGTGGTTGTTAATATGGTGACGTGTTGCTATTACGCTTCAGATATAGAGAATGAAACCGTAAAAATCATCTTGTATTCCCTCTCTGCAGCTCAAACCCCTTTCTGTGACCCCCAATGAAATTTGATTTCTCAAACACATCACTTAAAGAAGTGATTAAAACTCGCATAAGATTTTGCTAATGGCCCAACAATATTTACCAGGTCTGGTACCCCCTATGAAGTTCCTAGTCTCAAAGTTTACCTGGCAGGTAAGAAATGCTCTGCTCAGTAATAAAACAGGAATTTGGGTAAGTGGTTGGCAAAACTGAGCAAATAAAAGCGAAGACAATTATACTTTACACAATTGTGTTAATTATGGCAGAGACAGCTGCTCACAGCAGGGACATGGTGGGTATCCTATTGACGCCTCAGGCTTAATGTAATAACTCAGCAGTGTGCGCCAAAGTGCAGAGGCCAGCACAGACTTCTCTCCCTATGTCCTGAACTTGAAATCTTCAGTTCTCATTGAAGTCACTCACCAAAGCTGTTCCCTGAGCTCCTGAGTCTTGTAAATTCCTCTTGATTGTTGCCACAGATCACCTGCCTGACTCTTCACAGCTCTCTCAGTCTCGCCTTTATCATCGCATTATGATGATATTAACTGCTATAATGAGCATTATCCTTCCTGCTGTAATTAACTCCATTAGCACACATGCTGTTTTTTGCTGTTTTTGACTTGAACTGTCAACAGCATAAAATGCCCTTAAGTATAAAGCCATTCTTATAGTATATGTGTGTGCTGTGATGTGAAAGAATTGTCTCCAAAAGAATTTCAAATCACATTGTGTGATTATAGTTCTAAAATCTTTGTTTAGGGGGTCTGTGATGGATCTTAGAGTTTAATTTCTTGACCCAAGAAATTCAACTCTTTCTAGTCCCCAGTTTAACTTGAATCACTAAACTCTGAGTCTAAGAAGAGTCTGGGTCATCAGGGTGGAATTCAAGTCCAGTCTTAGTCCCAGTGTCCTAGTTGTGAGACTCACAAAGTGAGTCCTGATCACCTTTGTCCGAGTTCTCAATATTAATGTTATTATGATTTATTACACATGCACTGTTACATAAGAGATTGTTAGTGACAGGTGATTTTTTTGTTCCTATAACATATAAAGCTCTGTTTTCATAGCCTGGCTGGTCCATCCAGTTGCTACTGTTTTAATGCTGCAGCATGTGTTTTGTTAGCATGCTAATATTTAACCATACAACTACACATAATGCTGAGCGGATGAAACCTCATGAAGTGTGACATATTTAATATTGTGAGCTGTTTCTCCTCACAGGATCTTTTTGTAACACCTTAGGATAGGATCTGTGTTCTTTTTTTTAAAAATGGAGTAGTAATTGATTCTTGCTGACACTTTTTACTTGTATTTATCACTCAAAACTGTAACTTCAGGAACTCCTGTATAAGCAGATCATGACATCGATAAGATCTCAGTTTGCTTACTTCGCTCGAAGACTGGCTGCTTCTCACTCTGTTTGAGACTAGGGAAGCTCTGCTCAGGTGACATTGCTCAGGTAAACCAAACAGCAGCCTACAGAGTTTTCAGAGCACATCTCACACAGTCACTCCTCATTGGAGTGCTACATTTGTAAAATGAAACGTCTGATCGGGTCCAGACTCGTGTGTCCCATGATTGTTTGGAATTACCATGTAAAAACTGCTATGACTCAGCTGAGGACCCGTGCTGATCTGCTAACTACGTGAATGCACACAGGTGAGTTTGTATCTGTCATTATATGGTGAGATACAGTATTGTGTGGTGTAACATTGAAAGCTGTAACACGAAAGGGTCTGGGTGAAAAAAAAATCTGAATTTTCAGTGGATCAGACTGAAAATAGCACAAGATGGTTTCACAGGAACTTGAGTTATTAGCTGATATAAAAAAATAATCTGAAATACAAGCGTATTGCATTCACTTCCAAAAAAAAGGAAACTGTTCATTTAAGTAATTTTTTTTTTTCCTGTGCTGTTTTTCAGACAAACTTTTTCCTTTTTCTGTTTCTCTGACTATTTTTTTGTCCTGTTTTTTGTACGAATATTTTTTCCACCCTTTCTGTTATTTGGACAAATTTTAATTCTTTTTTTCGTACTATTTTTTTTTTGTCTCTGTTTTTCGGATTTTTTTTCCTGACTAAGCTAGGTACTTAGAAATCCTACGAGAATCTCATGCAATCAGATAACGTTAACCACCGCAGCTGCTCCACATCAGCAGATTCTCCAGCTTCCAGATAACTTCGACTACAGGGTCAATGAGAGGAAGGCATGTTATCAGTTAAACATAGGGTATGCAAATCCTGAGGGGCCTGTGCAAAGTAGACAAATGATTCCATCTATCTGACCTAAAGAAAGGAGTATCTCCTAGTGTCTCAAAACCAAAAGAAAGTAAAACTTGATTAAACTAAACAAGTGGGCTGTGTTTGCTTCCAATAAATCGAGCAGAGGGGGATGAAAACGTCTGTTTTCAAATGATCATGAGAATAGGAAAAACAATTAGTCTGGAAAAACCAAACCAAACCAAACAACAAAAACAATAAGTCTGAAAAACCAAACAAACAAACAAACAAAAAAAAAAATACTTTTTTTTTGTGAATGCAATATGGTTCTGTAGAAATAGATGTAAAATTGGGACCAGAGTATTTATCTGACAATGATGATGGGCGACAGAAGATAAATGTGATGACTTTGCAGAGTGAAATGCTGTATCTGAAGAGAGATATCATCAAAAAGTTTGGATAAAATCAGTACATTCAGAAAAGTAAACTCAATTTAACTTCTTTATTTAGCAGGTGCTGTCACACAATACAAAGGTTACATTTGGCACCAAGACAATAATCTGCCTGAGAAAGGGTTAAATGAATGAAAAATGTCATAATTCGAAATGTTTCATGATGTGTGTAACTCTTATTGATGACAAACAGGTGTGGAAAACATGCTTAGCAATGAAAAGCTGAGATTTTTTTTTTTTTTCACTTTGGTTATTCAGTTTATTTTTGGTGTTTATCTAGCATTAGAAGCATTTTTGTTTGGATATAGTCCAATCTTAAAACTGATGCCTGAACAAAGACACAATAAATATGGAGGAAAAAACAAAGTACTCTCTTTGAAAAACTTGAATGAGCTGGTTACTTGATAATAGAAATACCATCAACATGACATTTATGTTTGCATAATAGCACAACCTCAAATATGTCAAACATTTCATTTCCTTCTTGTTACTACAGCTGTAACACCGTGACTGTGGCAGATTTGACAGCACTATCAATGCTTTAATAATTGTCAGTTGGAGCTGTAATTTCCACCAATAAGCTTTATGTTGATTACAGTTTTGACAGACTGACAGATTTCTACTTTCACAGAGCAGCACTGATCCCTTTCCTGACAGAGTGGTAAAGATAAGATCAGATCTACTTCATCAGTTTGCCATTAGGGCAAATTCTCTTGGAGAATCTTCTGAACCAAAGAAAATGGGCCGGACAGTCTGAGTCAGCTGTAGCTGGAAGACTCATTCTACCCCTGAGGACAACAGTGAAGAATAGTCTAGGGCTTTCGCTGTCTTTTGGTGATTCATTCCACTATTTAGGGACAGCAGAAGAGAGGAGAAGAGTCAGGCTTGTAACTTAAGGGCTTGATGTGCTGGAATTACCGCATGCCTCTCTGTGGCTGAGCGTAGCAGGCGAGGAGGGGTGTAGACCTGTATAAGGAGCAATTTTTGTTGCTGCTTTGCAAGCAATAATTAGAGTTTTGAATGTGATTCGAGCTGCAACTGGAAGCCAGTAAAGGGAGATGCATAGAGGACTGATATGAGCTGTCCTGGGCGGGTTGAGGACCAGACATGCTGCTTTGTTCTGGATCATTTGCAGAGGTTTACAAGATCTGTGCGTGCAGGAAGGCCTGCCAGTGATGAGTTGCAGTAATCAATGTGTGATATTACAAGAGCCTGTACCAGGAGCTGTGTTGCAATTTCTGCCAAGTAGGATCTGAGCAATCAAGGCAACATGAACCCAGAAGATAAGCTGATCATCAATCATAACACCCAGTGTTCGGGCAGTGTTACAACCCAGCTCATGAGGGGAAAGGACGCAACATAAAACCCTGGTTCTGTGATGAAAAAAATGTTATTGCGAAAAGAAATAAGTGCTGTTTTACATAAAGTTGAGGTGAGGAACAGAGGGATGTGGAGTCCTCCACACACACAAATGCCCACACAGATTTCTTGACAGAGGATCAAGCGAACGAGAGCGTTTGCCCCAGTGTCTGCCTCCAGTCAGCAGCTTCCTAAATCTGCCACTCCTCCCCGATTGGACCAGGGCTTTCAATACTTGTACCAAGAGTATCTATACTTGTACCATGATTATCTATAATTGGACCAGGAGTATCTATAATTGGACCTGGAGTATCTATACTTGGGCCAGGAGTTTGCATACTTTGATCAAGAGTATCTGTACTTGGACCAGGAGTTCTCTCCCGCACAGACCAGCCTGACTCCAGACTCTCCTTGGTTTACATCAGGACAGTTCTACATCATGGACCTGTTCAGTGATATTCAGTGATAGTACAGTGGAAACTGAGGAGGAAGATAAAGTAGAGAATAAGGATGAGAAAGGAAGAGCAGAAAAGTTACAAAAGGAAAGAATAAATCAAAGAGAAGGGTTTGCTGCCATCTGTTTGCAAATGAAAACATTACAGAAGTTTTTTTTTTTTTTTTTTTTTTTTTTTCACAGACATAAATACTTTAACTGCAGATACAACTCCATAGAGGAATTATGTGGACTGAATGCACGACTTAGTGAGACTTTCATCTAACTTTTAGTCAGTATCAATAAGGCCATGGATGTCAGAGTGGTTTCTGAGCCTGAATCTTTAACTTGCCAGTTTTAATCTTGTCCTTGTAAGGAGCCGTTAAAGGGGAGTTCTGTTATTATTTCATATTTAGGTGGATAAATATCACAGTTTAATCAAGATGATTTTGTCCTGTGTTTAATGTGTTTGAAAACATGATTGTGAACCAATAAAAAGCCTCAGTTGTAAAGGAATGGATCAAGCTGGTCTTTCTGTTTTTAATGAAGGATTACAGAGAGAAAAAATTCATTCTATATGAACCTGCTGTGTTCCTCGGTTAGAAGAGATACAGCTCATATTTGACCAATACACCTGTCACATTACCAATATAGATATTTTTGTTATTTCAAAGGAACCATGTTTTTCACTCTGCAAGAAGGATATTTGTCACCATCTGCAATTTAAAAAAAAGGTTGTTATTCTTTAGCGCAGAATTTTACATCAGTGGTTACTGGCCACAGAGAAAGAATGAAGGGGAAGGGGTGTAAAAAAAGGGCGTTGTTATCACACATTTTATTGGGGTGTTGTCTATTAAGCCGCAGTCAGCCTGGTCAGGTGACCTGCTGCAGCCAGGTAAACTCAGGTGTGAAGAGGGGGAGGGGACAGAGGCAGAACAATGGAGGAGCAGGAGGGAAATGTCTTGAGGGAGTTTTGGCTGGATCTGGAAAGGAACTTTGCTCCTCGTGCTCCTCAAGGGCTGCAGGGAAACCTCGACTGTGGATGAACTTTTTCACTGGTAGAGAGGATGGCTGTGAGCTGTTGAGCTGTCAGAGGAAGCGTTCCCAGGATTATTCCTAGATTGAATTATTCTTGTTTTTTTGTTTGTTTTTTTTTTTTGTATTGTTTCATGTTTGCTTGTTTTTTGGGGGGGAGGGGGGCAGACCTACTGAATTTGTGTTGGAGATTTATGCTAGGGATAAGAAGATTTGTGTTGGGTTTGGGCTGTGAAAAGTTGTATGTATTTATTTTTGGGCTTTGAGTTAAAATCCATGCATATAGAGAAGTTCTCTGTGGTGGTCTCAGTATAAACAATTGTTGACTGGTTACAAGAGTTTCCAGGGTTTTTAAACCATTTTGCGTATCCAGATGTAGAGCTGATCACCTGTAAGTCAGAAGATCTGCTGTACAGTTGTCCTCATATACCTGCCTGGGTATGGTCTGGCTAAAGTTCCTAATCCTGTAGCTGTGATGATTGACGATGTGTGAATTAATGTGTGTACATCTATCGCATCTGCATCAAGAGCCAGGAGAGGCCATGTTTCTCTGGAAATGTCAGAAAGAGTCTCACAGGTTCTTCTTGGTTCTTCTTTGTGAAATGATTGGGTAAAAGCATCACTGGAAGTTTCCCGTTTTGATCCTATATTTTTAAGCAAATAATTTCTCCCTTTAGAGAATGACACAGATTCTTCCTTCACTGTGATAGTTCTTTTTTTTTCTGCATTTTGCCTCTGGTCTGTACACCACACTGCCCGAGCGTGGTGAGTCCGCTCCAGTTTCTGTCAGGATTTAACCCTGATTGGTTGGTTTGATGTCCTGAATCCTGGCTTGAACACTCACTTCACTTCTAGTTGGTCCTTGTACTCCAATGTACTGTAACAAAAGTGAGTTCATAGTCATAGTTGCCATGGTGAATTTCTGAGTCAATGTTAGACTGCAGTGTGTGTGTGTGTGTGTGTGTGTGTGTGTGTGTGTGTGTGTGTGTGTGTGTGTGTGTGTGTGTGTGTGTGTGTGTGTGTGTGTGTGTGTGTGTAAGAGAGAGAGAGAGAGAGAGAGAGAGAGAGAGAGAGTGCAAAAAAAAACCCAAAAAACAAAATGAGGATGCATGCCGCACATTCAGTAAATAACACCTTCTATGATATTGCATCTCTACACAGATATGAGTAATACAGCACAGCTCTGTCTCTTCTCTATCTGCAACCCACCCCCAGTCTGTTTGGTCTCCATGCTTGCCTCTGTGTTATCACCATGGCAACTGTACTGAGATTGCAGGGTTGCAGCTGTAATCAGGAACTAGGGAGAAAGTAAGAAAAGTAAAGACAGGGGCAGTGAGCTAAGGTAGAATAAAAAAAAAGATAGTGAGACTACTATTAAGGCCACATATGTTGTACCCTGAACCATAAACCAGTGAAAGACATCAACACCACTTCAAGTTATCTGACTGTCCCTCTGATTACCTGTCTCTGTTCCTGTCAGTCACCTTTTCTCAATCACGAAAGCACAATCAATATTTATATGACTCAATTTCACAACAAACATCCTCTTAAGATGTGTTACAGAAAGAGCTGGGGCCTGTTCTACAAAGCAAGTTCAACCGCTCAACTTAGTGCGGTAGCCAGCGGTCTCGCTTAAAGGTGTTACGATGCTGGTTATCAACCTCATAAGTGGATCCAGCTTTGCTATGAGCGTGCGCACGCATGTAAAGCGGAGCCCGCCGCATCTGACCAATCGCGAACATGGACCAGTTTGGAGCGTCA